ATGAACAACTCTTCCACGCAAGCTCAATCAACCCAGGCAGTGCCATTTATGAAGTTTACCGAGTTAGTTGCTTGGAGTTGTGCGTTTGGTGTTGTCGATGTTTTTATTCTGGTTGGAAATGTTCTTACGCTAATAGTCTTCATTACAAACAAGAAGCTTTTGAGGGTACGAGCCAACTACTTCTTGATAAACTTAGCTCTAGCTGACATTTTGGTTGGTACGTCTGCCATTCCCATGTATGTTTACCACTTGATTTCAGCGTGGCACAAAGGAAGCACTGTTTGGCACCAACGTTCATACAAGATTTACACGGTGGTGGACGTTTTCGTCGGTTGCGCATCAATATTCACTCTAACTATTATTGCTTTGGAAAGAGCCTTTTCGGTTTGCTTGCCTCATGTCCACCGCCACATTAAAAACAAAGTCTACTATAACCTCGTTGGGCTGATATGGTTCATGTCCATTCTGGTTGCCGTTTTGCGCTTTCTTTTCGAGAACGAATTGTTATCGATAATTTTTTTCTTCTACTTTTTGCTTGTCTTCTTTGCAATTGCATTGTCAATCATCTGCATTTCATACGCAGTGATTTGGTTTCGAATGAAGTTCCGTTTTTCCAGGAGAGACAGCAACAAGCGTTCAAGAGAACAGGACAAAAGACTAGCCATAACGCTATCCACAGTGACCATGATATTTGTACTCACGTGGCTACCCTTCCAAATCATAAATATCGTTTCATTTTTCTGCAAGCCCTGTCGTCAAATGCCGAACGAGTTGGTTAATTTCACGAAATTTTTGCATTATGGAAACTCTTGTGTTAACCCTATAGTCTACTCCTTCCTAGTTCCCGAGTTTAGAAACACATTAACCAGATTTTTGAGAAAATTAAGGACCTAATGGTGTTTAAGTAATGGGCGCATAATGATCATAATAATTTGTCTCTTTCCATTGTTCATAAGGAAGAGCTTTAAAATTCCGGCATGTCTCTTGCTATGTTAGAACAGTCCACACAAATACCACCAATATACCCAGATTTGGCAACATTGTACATGCACTCATCACTATGAACTGCTGACCATAACGAGCAGTAAGAATTTAAAGCTTCAAATTATGGCAACACTGCTACAAGAGTATGATGCCTCAAGGCAGTTCGAATGTGAAAAAAAAAATGAACTCTGTAACACTTAAACTTATAACAGTCGTTTCCTCCTTGCAAGACTCAGCAGTTTCTGCGTGATAGTTTTGAAACAAAAATGAGTAAATATGCAAGAACATACCACTAGGTATAGCCACTATGTTACAATCATGGAGCACTTTTTTTCTGCTGTATTCTGGAGGAAGTTGGATGTTAATGCACAATACTTGAGACAGACAATAAAAAACAAGGGCCAGTGCCATTTTTGTTTCCACTTTTGTGTCGATTTTAGTCTCCATTATTGAATTTTCCTTACCGTGGAGCCTTAGGCCCCGTTAATATGGAGAAAAGTTGTCCCAGGTAGACATAGAAGGGTCACCTGCCTAGCCGAGCTACAATGGGCGAATCAACTTTTCCTGTATTTCCTTGCAAAACGTCACGTGACAAGCCATTTATATGACAAACAAAACGTTTGCTAAGCTAGAAGGGGGTGAGCCGTGTAGCCAGGTCACTCTTTTGTGATGGTGGGGTCCTAGTCGGGCCAACCTTTCTCCACTTCGGATCGCCCAGCTGGGTCAACTCGGTCAAGGTGAGACAATCAGAGCATGCACGAGCGCCGTTGGATCGGGCAAAGGGGTCAACTTTTCTCTCATATAAACGTTCACAATAAAGTTGACTTGGATGGGAGGGTCGACCCTTCTCCTCGGGAAACGTTTTCTCCATATATTCAGGGCCATATTAGTATAAGCGACAAATATGTGCAGTATGGTTTTTATCCAGGGGGAGAGGAGAAGGAGAGAAAATCCAACGCCCGCCCCGCCTTGTCGATTGGTAAGCGCTCGACGTGATATCTACGTCTTATTCCCCACAGTGCATAAAAACTCAATGTAGAAGGAAGATGGAAATAGGAAACGTTTTCTCAAGAATGATATCACCCCAAAAAGCTCACGAAAATAAGGACTGACATTATATCAGATGAAAGCTCGCTGTACTAATTATTACAGTAGGAGAAAAAGAAAGTTATGAACCGCATACTAATTATGAAGGAAACAAATATCTCGACAACACACTTAGGCTATGTTCACACCATACCGGATAGCTTTTGGGCCGCCACGAAAATCATCCCAGATATAGAGGGCTTCTGTTCAAACACTGAGAACGGTGATTTCGGCGCAACTTCTATGACGGAGCGAAGCTGCACCGCGCCGATCTCGAAAGCGGACCGTCACCTATCGGATAGTCTCTGCGCCTCACTTTGGTGCAGTGTGTCCACCTATTCGGACCGTCGCGGAAGTAAAAGAGTAGGAGTGAGGACTGGAATTTTGTGCACCAAACCCTCTCGGCCAACCGCCCCGGCACGAGGTTCCATGTGTGTGAACGACTTGTGCCGCCCCGGGCCGTTGCTGTTCATATTATACCGGTATTGTGTGAAAATAGACCTGCAGTTAAAGAGATTGATATGAATTAAGAACCATAAACTCGGCAGTCGAGGCAGAATTATACCTGTATTAAACTTCTATGTGATAAGTATGAATAAAACCTCTTCCAGTCAACGGTATTCACAGCGTACTTTAGACAAAAATCGCAAGTGTTTCTTGTTGGCTTCACGGGTCCCTCAACGAAGACAACGGGTCCCGAGGCTTAACTCGCAGCATATATCCAAAGTGTACATCTAAGCGTAGGAAAACCACAAAAAAGCTAATATGAACAGATGAAGACATTAACATAGCATACTCTCTTACGATTAGGTTAGCAAGCTTTTGCGATACTGACCTCAGCTCCGCCCTCTTTGCGTGGCGAGCCTTCAGTAATCTGGTGAAAGCACTCGAAGAACTCACCGTTACTAACTGACGTCCCACTGGCACGCGGAGTCAAGATATGGAATCGGAGGGCGAGATAGTCGCCCCCTTCCTCCTGATCTAAATGATTTTGGGGGAAAAAGAGACTGTGAGCAGTCCATGGTGAATTTTCCATACAAAAATCTACAAAGCTATAAAAGGACATATTTTATTTCCTCAGTCTGTGATCCTTTCTATTCTCCTTTGCAACTTAATTTTTGCCCTAATCAAGTCAATCCCGAATAACTACTTGACGCAAATAGTCTGGTGAGGCAGACATTAGGGACTGTGCAATAATTATCAGGAGGGGGGGGGGGGGTGNTAATTGAGCTGATCCTATGTAAAGCAAAAATCATGAACTTGTTTTTCAGCTTCCCCCATAAAACAATGGGAATCAAACAGATCTCGTAGACAAGCTTTGTCGGTTTTTGATGTGAATAAAAGTAATGTTTCTTCATCGACTGAATCAATTTGCTGAATTCCATATATATCTGGCTCATAACAAAGTTCATCAGGCTCTCCTCCCAAGGATCTAAATATAATGCAAGCTCTTTTTCGTCTGTTATTTGAAGCGTTCAATCTCCTGTTCTTTGATTTTTTTTCTCTGCTCCTTTCTCTTTCTGGCTTCAGGAGTTTTAGTTTTTGAGCCAATGTGGTAAGCACCCCGGTACTTAGCAAATGCTTTGTCTAAATCTTGGGTGGGTGGTCGGGGGGGGCGGGGGGGTGCGACGTTATTTTTAACATAACAGAGGGGGGTTTAAACTATTTTTTTTGGTTTTGGAGGGGGGGCACTGTATAAGTTTTTGCTAGAAAACTCTAGTTTTTCAGCCCCCCTCCCCTCCTGATAATTATTGCACAGTCCCTTACTGCGATAGATATCGATAAAAAATATACTTTCATTATTAGTTTATAATTCTTAATGATTTCAACATCCTTTTCAACAGCTACTCTGGTACAATACCACAAACAAGCCGTAAGAAAGAAATCTTGTTATATTCACATACGTCTGATATCTGAGCTTAGTCTTTTAGGATATCTAATACATCAGTACGTGCCCGAGGCCATTTAAAGGGCGCTAGAGCCATCGTTCATCCGGCTAGTGAATCTAACTTGCAGAGTCATGCAAATTAACTGGTATCAATCATCTTGTGTTTTTATTAATTTGATTTTAATTATAGAACCATACTTCAATGTACGATAGTGAAAATTCTAAGTCAATAATAATGAATAGGATAGGTCACTCACTCATGGGTCCAAATCCATCAACAAATAGATTAATAATAAACTATTACCGAATCCTCTTAATACTGACTCACGATTTCCGTTGTATATCAAATTTATGCCTTCTGGATGTGACTGAATTGCATCAACTCAATATTGTTTGTTGACCAATATATAATGCTATTGTTAGGTTAACGATATACAAAATTTCAAAGTATTCCAATCCATGCTGGTTTTGTGGTCACTTGAAGCGACCCTGGCGGCCCCAAAACTCTCTTCAAGGACTGACAGATACGGCGCATCTTTGGAAATTCTGTAAAAACCGTCTGAATAAGGCAAACTGAAGAGCCGAGTGAAAATTGTGAGACAACCTAAGGTGAGGCTTAAACTGAAGAGTATGGAACTGCGAAAAAGGGTTTGCACCTGATTGGCCATGCTCTGAAGAACATTAGCTAACATCAGTAATTATCATCTGTAACATTGATGTTATGTGAGTTAATAGGGCATTTGGTGGTTGTTGGTTTTTGCCAACATGAATATGTTCATCCTCAGCGTAGTTTGGGTGGCACTAAGAAACAGTAGTGTAGCCGCTTTTGCTCTTCTAGGAATTGACGTACATGAACACGAAGTAATAAAGTAAATGGAGCTTGATCGCCCATATACATCACAATTAACATATAAAATCTTGACATGGTACCTGGCCGGACATTCAATGTCTGTAATGCTGAAGTGATTTTCATACGGGGATTTTGTTGTTAGGTTTATTCTTAGCTATGTCTTAAAATGCAATGTGATCGTATATCCTTTTTCAGTATAACTATAATATTTTGCCGCGGGCTATTAGTATAATGAAATTGGATAGAATATACCCGCGACACGGGTTCTTCTTGTAATTTAACAAACGACTAGCGATCCTAACCAAGTTAATGGAGCTGATGTGAGCGAGCAATTCGCTGATTTGAAGGGAAAATAAACCAGGAAACATATGTACCATTTATCCTCTCATTCCTTACCAGTTGAGGAAATTAAAAGTAAAAGAGTTGTAACGTATCAGTTGAACAAGAAAAGGTGACACATGAAGTTCCCTTGAGTTTTTAAAATGAAAGTTTGAATTCATGGACTATTCTCACTAGATCATTCTTAGTGACTCCACTCATCAACTTTCCTAATCGAGACATTTTCCTAAACGCCATCTCCCCAATTCAGTCTCAAGCCTTCTCCAATTTCTTTTGTGCAAACTATAGAAATAGCCTAGAAAGCAGTTTACTTAATGGAAGTGAATTGCATCTTTTTTTTTCTGTGAGAAATGTGATAAATAACTGCTCTACGTCAATGAAAATACTACAGACGTGGCGGCATTGATACTTGTATGGACAAATGCTTCCGTCAAAACTTGTACTGTGACCTTGATTGATGTACGTTTTTTAAAAGAATATCAGTTTTCGCCAGATCAATTACGTCTATTCCATGCAGACACGATTTCACCACTTGACAAAAAATAAATGATTGTCAATGGGTCAGTAATGCAACCAATGTTCTGGGAGCAGCTAACGTATCGGTTATGTGATAATTCACTAGTTTTCACCAGTTCTAATTAGTGCACACGTCACGTATACACTGTAAAGTCTCGATTGCGTCCCAGCTAGTTAATTGAAACTGGTATAGTAGGACAGGAGATATACTACAGGGATATGATTTACTTGACCCTGGAAAAGGGTACACTAAAATCATAACTTATCGGAATCAGTATTTTTGCGTGCCCTGCACTCCATCTGAATCCCGTTTTTGGGTGTGGCTCAAATTTGATTTTAATACAAAGAGGAACAAATTCCAAGAGACAAATATAGCAGAACTCGGACAATTTCAACGAAACTGCTGTAGGCGATACGTTTTGAATGAAGAGATTATCGTCATTCGAATTCGGTAATTTTAGATTTTAGCGCCCTTTAATATTTATAGCCCCCGTACAAATATTTTGAAATCTGAAGGATCACAAACACCACCGGCATTTCCATGATGAAACAAAAAGACCAGAAAGATATTCAGGTTATAAATTATTTAAAGAAATTTTATTGGAAAAGACACGGTATAACTTACTTTAGTTGTAATAAGCACATTTTCCCAATTCAGATTCCACGGTTCTTAGTAGTTTATCAATGAGTAACTAGACTATGAATTCAGAATGTTATTTTGAGTGAAATAATTCCTCCTCTCTTTTTCGATCATCCAAAGAAAGGAAAAATGAACTAGGCTTTACGAACATAATTAGAGCTAACATATATACAGTACCCAATGTTACACAACATGTGGACCTTTCGTTTACAGTTGTAATCAGGTGAACAAACACAGGTATGGATACTGCCATGAATGTTCTTAAACCAGTCTATCAGAATTAACATAACATGCTCAGTTGCAAAAAGGGATCTGATTCAACTTTTTCTTTATTCACAATCATACGTTTTACCGTTAGAATCACCGTAAGAGGAAAATTAGTCTGGTTATTCTTTTGTGTTTGTGTGTGTGTCTGATAAGGACAGTTCACAGTTAAGTACTATATTTTTTTGAATTGTTATTTTCACAGAGTGATCATGAATACTTCAGTCACTACTGATAGCGAGGAAGGAGAAGGCATGCTCAGTTCTTCAAGTTATGAAGTCATTCTATGGTGCGCAGTGTTCATATTTACATCTATCACGGTTCTTTTTGGAAACACTCTAGCTATCGCTGTTTTTGTTGGCAAGAAGTTACTACGCAAGAGAAGTAATATACTACTACTGAATTTAGCCACCGCCGATCTAGTTATTGGCAGTGTTGCTATACCTATGTACGTTTACATTTTTTACAAATCCCATAAAGCAGATCAACGGGAAAGCAGGATCGTTAATGACGTGTACCTATGCGTAGATATATTTGCTGGACTGTCATCCATGTTACTTTTGGTGGTTACTGCTTTGGAGAGAGTCTACTCGATCTTCTTTCCTTTTAGCCATAGGTGTACTTCCAGACAATTTTACTGGCTTTCAGCTTGCTCTGCTTGGATAATTGCCGGTTGCGTTGCTTGTCTCAAGCTCCTCTTTTCAAGGAGAGTAATACCTCCCTCGTATGATAACTACATAATTGTGACTGTAGTTTCTTTGGCGATTTTGACCATGTCAGCCTCTTATGTAGCTATTTGGACCAGGCTACAATGTCGCAGGAAGAACAGTAGTGTAATCGTGCAAGAGAAGCCCGTAGCGATGGCAATGTTAATAGTCACCATTGCCTTTCTAGGAATGTGGTTACCAATATCTTTCATAAACCTGATTGGCAGTTTTGACAGTCGGTCGGTTCTTGTCATCCCCTTAAACGCGATTTACTTTGCCAAGCTTTTACAGTATTGCAACTCTGTTGTTAATCCTATTATATACTCCTTAAAGCTTCCGCAGTTCCGCAAAGCCTTGGATAGACTTCGTCATAAAAGTTCCGTTATAACAGAACACAGAACACAGAACGATAGGCCCTTAATATAAAAGTGGTACGTCACCTTGAACAAGGAAAAATTGAAAATCATATCGCATGGTAACACTTTAACTCCCAGAAATGATCGGCGTGCAACTTCTCCTTATAATATCCAATACATTGTCAAGTTGAAAGGCGATGAGAATAGGCAAATGTGGCAGCCAAAGGTTGTTCTTTTGATTTAAACTTAAATTAATTCCCTAACCTATTGTACAATAAAATGTATAGCAGCCAGACAGGAGAACTATAGTAATTAGATCTTTGGAGTTATAGTAATGCACTTTCTCTTGCAGCTGATGGCCATCATAAACGCTTGATTGATTTAGGTAACTTTTTTCTATTTTCGTCATTTACTAACTAATTTATAACTCCTCTCCTAAGAAGAGATTTGAGCTGTTCTCACAAGATTTGGTTGTTTCTTGGTGATGCGGACGAGTGGGATCATGTCCAATGGACGTATTACAAAAGTTTAAAAAGACAGTTCACAATACCCTCACTCCAACACACAAGCTAACCTACAATAGTATCCACACACTGCGAAACATACCCAAGTTTTTCATTTTCTTAGTAAGCTTGTGTAAATAAGTTTAAATTCCTAGATTCCTGATCTGACCGTTGTTTCTGACTTACTTAAATTCCCTGGCTAATGCTTCAAAACTACAACATGTACGTACGCCAGCGTTGACCAAATTTGGAAAATACTTGCCGATATCAGTAGAGCTGACGTCAGTTGTGCAGATATGCGGACAGAAAAAAGGGACAGCGGAAGGCGCGTTTGTTTTAAGTCAGTGACGAGTACAAATCAGTTTTCATGCATCCGTTAGTTGATGCTATAAAATGCCTTTCATCGTCTTGAAAAAAAGCGTGGAGGGTACCTGAGTTTTCTGTCCATTAGAAACTTCAATTAAGAGATGTTATTTCCATTTGCAGGCCCCAGTTATTCAAAAGGTGGATGACCCTATCCACTATCGATAAATTACTAGCAAAGTATCCAGTGGATTGCGCTACTGGTTTTCCTTGTACCTAACCGCTGGATAGTGATTTATTCGTTGCCGGGATAGCGCTAAGTCTAGCTTTTGAGCAACTGGAGCCTGTAGTTTTCATCTTTTAATTGAGACACAACAGGCGTTGGCCCATTGTTTAACAGCATATACTAGATTATATCAAGGCTCTCTTGGTTATATTGGACTGCTCTTCCGACTCGCCAAACAGGATTATGTATTTCTTCAAAATACCTCAGCATACAAAACAATAAACCGTCTAATAAGATACATTTATCTGTAACTTTTGCCTTTTTTATGCACTTATCCCTCGGACGTACACGCGAGGAAAGTTACAATATTTTGAAACGATTTTGCCTTCATTGGAAAGCCTTTGATCTGATGAAGAATATTTTATGGGTGGTGGCGCTTGCTGAAGGTCTATGACATCACTAAACATGGTCGCCATCTTGGCCGCCATGTTGGATTTTATCAAGAGTTAGAAATCAGGTAAAAACAGTGAGAATTAATAATTTTTTGCGCTTAACATGTAAAAAAAAAACATAAATAATTACTTTGCATCATTTTATCCACAAGCTTTACTTTTTTCCTAAAACAAGTTGAAAAAACATGTATTTTCACTCAATAATGGCTGACCACCTGTTACTTATGACGTCATATCGCTTAACCATAGTAACTGACCATCACTGAACTTGTCTTAAAATGCGAGCGAGGGATAAAATAACAGCTTCAGGAAACTTCAGGTGCTGATGTTTTATCGTCTAGGAAAAAAGTCAGAAATACCTTATAGGGGGGTGGCAACCACCCACCCCCCCTCCCCTCCTCCCCTCCCCTTGTACGTCCGAGGGTTAATAGCCAGAGCGGCAAACCTTTCCATATCTATTGATGTTTGCAAATTGTTATTAAATTTTTGTTCAGCGTCAAAATAGAACAATACTTCTTTTCGACAGTTATGAACATTTCAAACCAATCCCTTTTGATGTCTGGAACGATGGATTTCTTTCTATTAAATTTCTTATTCAAGCAAGGAAAAACAAAATAAAACAAAAATCTTGTTTATTTCTATAAACATGGAGACGAAATTAAAATCACCAAAAAGATCGGGATTTAGTCGTGGAACGATGTTCAAGAAATGATAGCTAAAGCTTCTATTTTTTGTAAATCGTCCGCTCTTAATAGTTTGTTCGGAAACGCAATATCGGCCTATTCAATATATGCAAATCAGCCAATTCATGTAAAATCAAATTGATATGTGCGTTTAGACAAGCCGAATGGAAAGAACTGAGTGAGATGTATTTTGTGCCACTTCAAAGCCGCAAGATGAGTTTTAGGCCGTTTTCTTCTTTGTCGGTACACGTACGCCTATTCATTCCTCTCCGTTTGAAACACATTTATAGTTTTTGCATATTTCACATTGCATTTCACAAAGAGCAGTGTTAAAGTTACAATTAGCAAAACTCCCGCAATTAACAATTATTTAAAATTTTACGAATTTTAGCTAGTTTGACAACGGAAAACATTAAAAAGGGAGTCTCAATTGGCTTGATGATTTATTAGCCAAATTCTGATTGGCTTACCTAATTTTCTAAGTGTTTTTTTTATCAATTGACGCTTACTGATCGTCTAATTCCGATAATTTGTTCATGTATCTTTTGTTTAGATTGATATCCTAACTTTAATGAAAATTTAATAAAAGTTATTGCCATCAGCTCTAAGATAAACGTAGTATCAACCCATGCAATCCATCGCAAAAACAACTACGCGACATACGAAGGCTGCTCAGGATACCTCACAGTTGGACTCAACATAAAGTAATATACGTGGGTATCATGAAAACTTTATGGCGCTCTTAAAGAAAACAAACCGACATACTGTATCTTAATCTTGCATCGTTTGTGAGGTGGTTGGTTTGATGTTAAAATGTGGAGTTCTTGTGTCTGTAGAGCGGCCACCTGCACGTATATGCGGATAAAAGCTTTTCCTGACGTAGAAAACTCAAAGGTGCGAAGCTATCAGTTAAAAACCTTTCAACTGGTTCATTTTCAAAGAGGCTTTTTGTTATTTGCCGCATACAATTGAAGAGAATTTTAGTTTGTGATTATATTAACGCACCACCGCTGAGAGGAGAGCTTACCAAGACGCTTGGCGGGCAAAGATACTTGCGATAGCTCAAAGCATCCAGTGACAAGTCAAGCAAGCAGTTCTAGTATACTGTGCTCGTGTTTTTCTGAACGTATATTGAAGTGTATGTTGAGTTTTGCAATTCAAGGAGTGGATGTCTTTCACCTTTATGAGGCAAACATTAAAAATTTGCGACCTTGACTAATTCATTTTATCTATATTCCCACAATCCCCCGCTGCGTTTGTTCATAAGAAATATTTAAGGAATACGACTGGCCGCGCTGCTAAAAGTACTTCGATTGACGAGCTTTCAGTTTACCGGCTGGTGCAGCCAAACCGTGAGTGCGAACTATGAGTTCGCAGCTGTTGTCATAACATGAATAATTTTAGGCTAAAACCCTAACGGAGATTTTGGCCTCTTCATATGCTGCAAGTTAATTCTCGTTTGTCAATTACAAATAGAAGTTTCGCCACAAGAAGCCGAGTTCAGGCAATCTCGTCCTTAGAATACGGTTGGTATTTGTTTCTTTTTTCACACCTTTCTTATAAAAGGTAAATATATTAAATCAGTGAAGCCCAATTTATTGATCAGACACTAGGTATTTCTCGAAAGAAAATCTAGAGCAAAAACGAAAATAGCTCACCCGGCGGACGGAGTGATTATAGAACAATCACCATGACTTCGCTGATCGAAAAATTCATTTACATGAGTTTCTTGAAAAAAGAAAATGTTTGTTTATGAAAGTCGTTTGGTATTAACTAAAAGTAACTCACTTCCTCGTCCAAGACGATGTGTATTACATCTGTTGCAAGTTTGTTTTTGTTTTTGGATAAATTTACTATGCTATGAATAAGTTTACCTGGTGAGGAGTGAATCTAACTCGCTTGAATAGCCCTGATGTGATTGCCAAGCAAAGATAAATTTATTATTGAGTTCCCTGATAAGAAATATGTATATATTCATTATTAATGTAACAAAAGAGAAAACACACACAATTTAGCTTGAACTAATCAGTTCTCAAACTATAGCCCGTGAAGGTTTTGATTGCAAGATACATGTATGTGTACATTTAGTTACGTTCAATATCTAGTTTAGGCCTGAAGCGGCCCGTATAATTTTCGAATCGGTCTTCATGCACTAGCTTATTTAGGGAGCGTTGGAGGCAATGTGCGGTGTTTGTGTCAAATCTTGTCTTACTGAGATTTATTAACCCCTGTACAAGGCAAGAAGTCCCAAATATCGATGCTCGTCATAAATCATTCATTTTTCGCATCATAATATTTTCACAAGCCGGTTACGAAGTTACAAATGCTCTGCAGGATTCCTCATAGTTCGTGTTCAAATTTGAATGTGTTTATTTTGTAATAAAAGGCGATTAATACCATAAAACACCGAGGCAACATTTTAATCTTTGCATCATTATGATCGGTCATTATTGATGTCTCGTTTTTGTTTTGCCTTTTGAATTCACTTCCATACGCGGAAAATTTTTATTTCTATTTTTATCCTTAATTGAGGTTATGCATTGGAGATAAAGAATAGGCTGCCACAAGAAAATATGATAAGTAAATAAACATTGGATATTTTTTATAAGTCCGGTTCCGAATCGAAGAAAGGACAAAATTTTGCCCTGATGAAATTATGTCATGGATTTTACTAAAATACATGTAAAGTCAAGTATGGTTAATTTGAGGTATGTTTACTTTTCAGATTAGATCTAGAATCCCCCGCGAAAGAGCTGCGAAGGCAAACTGATGTTTTTTTTTTTTTGGCAAAGCTGCTATATTGCATTGAAAATGTTGCGTGGACAACAAGAGCAATTTGTTGACGATGTTAATCGCAGCAGAACCGCGAATGTCGATTGTTAGTTGTCTCAAAACAATGACGG